TAACGTTAGCTTAGCTACCTTAACTCCTTCTTGCGTTAGTCACAAACACACCACGGATACACGAGGCTTAAGATGGCTTTCTGTTTCGCCAAGTTTCTTATTTGAATTTTCCGTTCCACTTTAAATCGTCCTCCAGTTGGATTATGGCGCCGGTGCGGGTGTCCACAAACTGCTGCACCATTTAAGGTGGAACGGAAAATTCGAACGAGAAACTGGCGAAGAAGAAACTTAAGCTTCGTCGCGGTGACCGGAAGTGACTGGTTGAACTAATTCCCTCTGGAATACGATTTTTTTTTATCGGGAATTAAAATTATAATCAACCTTTAAAAAACAACGGGGAAAACGTAAACAACAACAGCCGCCCGGCTGCCGTGAGCTGTTTACGTTACCATGGTTACAGTCACAGCGCGGCCTGATTGGCGTTTTTATTAAGACTAATGTTTATAGCTTTTCATATCTGACTTTGATGAATGATCATCAGTTCACAAATCTGGAGGATTACTGAGACAGTTTTATTACGTTTAATTTGTCGTTTAAAATAAAGGTTAACGTCTAATAATAATAATAATAATGGACTGAATAACTAAATATGATCATTAATGTGTAGATTTAGTGCTTGAATATTACAGTGACTATCCTTATTTAATAGGACATTTATCAGGATTTGATCAGGAAAGTCTGTGCACGTCACTGTTTACAACACAATGCAAGCAGCACCCGTCCATATAATATAGATTTTATTATTGCTTTAATGCATTATAAATTGTTTAATGCTTTTCTGAAAATCCCACCCCTTCCGAGTGAAAGGGATTAATAAATTTACCCCCTTATCTCCTAATAATCAATCTAACAAGCTAGCAATCTAATGATCATCACTCTCAGCATCCAGACCGCATCCAGCCACAGAGCTCAGCCTCTCACATCACTGCATTAGTCTGGAAAACATCTTCAAACAGCGCAGCACCAAATAATCCCACACAGTCCAAATCAACTCGCTTCTTTAGAGCTCAGTTAAAGCACGATGGGAGTGAAATCAGGGCAGAAAAGCGTCACACTGACCCTGATTCACTGCAGCGCCCCCTGCAGGACACTCTCAGAAACGTTTCCAAGTATGCAGAAAAACGCCACACTCACTGGCCGCTTTATTAGAAACACCTACCTCGTACTTCCACTCACTGGTCACCTCATTAGAAACACCTACCTTGTACTTCCACTACCTTGTGCTTGCAATAACTGGCCACTTTATTAGAAACACCTACCTCAAACTTCCACTCACTGGTCACTTTATTAGAAACATCTACCTTGTACTTCCACTCACTGGCCACTTTATTAGAAACACCTACTTTGTACTTCCATTAACTGGCCACTTTATTAGAAACACCTACCTAGTGCTTTCCACACCAGCAAAGTGGAGCCCAAAGAGAGCGGTTTCTAATATAGTGGCCAATGTGTTATTATGACACACTGAGAGAGAATTAGCTTCCACAGAAAAATCTTTGTGTTCTGTAATCTGTGTAATCTTTGGTTGCAAATCCCCAAAACGTACATAGTGCAGCTTTAAGCAAACTAAATTCATATACAAAACATCCTACTAACATTTTACCTTACAGTGTTGTCATCTACCAAAATATCACAGCTGTAAGCACGACAAGAGATGGTCTGGGGTAAAAAGAAACATAATGTTACATTTAATAAAATAAGCAATATGGGAGTGCTGACAAATTTTGTTTCCTTTTTTTCATTCATAGCCACTAGATGGTGCTGTGGTAGCAAACTGAAAACGCCAAAAGCAACAGCAGAGAACCTACACACCACCACTACTCTCCTGGATGCTTCTTTATCTGTAATAACAGAAACATCTGTCATGGAAAAATATTCTTTGAAAACTGGTGCAGGGGCAATATTATTATTATTATTATTGGTAAGTCAACTGCTAAATGATAATGGTCAATTCTATTCACACTCCAGTTTTCTACTTAAATATAAAAGACCTACTGAAATTAGCACAAAAGGATTACAGTAACAGAAGCTATTCCTGAGGGTATATCTCACAATACATAAAACATTATCTATCATAAATCTTTTAATAACCGTAATAGAGCTTCAATCAATGGAATTAACATAAGTGAAGAATGATTAATAATAGATGTTTGAGAAACCTGTCTATCTCAAGAAGTATACCTGCAGTGCACTCTCAGTGGGCTTCGATATTTGTTATTCATTGGAACAAGGTATGGACCATATCTAAGGAATATGCACCAAATAACAATGCCAAAAAATCACCTTCAAAAACATTCATACATATACAACTGCAACAGTATTGTCTCAGAATATAACATACAGGTGAAAGATTTATGTAACATTTGTGGTGAAAACAATAAACACACTGAACACATGTTCTCCCACTGTAGCCATTCTAATTACTTTTTGTAAAGATGTACTAAAGATTATTGGGCATAAAATGAACATTATATAGTCTACAGACCACTGCAGTCGTGTTGTCATTTTTGTAGTTGGCGACATGCTCTTATGCCCATTATAGGAACTATGTGTCTAAGCTGGATTTCTCTATGGCCAGAATGAATAAGGTTCACCTCTATTGCACCCTGTGGTAGATAACGATGTTCAGAACCCAATACTTTTGTCCTATGAACATTCTTCTCTCGAATATCGCTGGATCCTCTTAATTACGAGGCCATTAAAAAGTTGAAATATGAAAATTGCTACATGTGAGCTAAAGCTACTGCGCACTGAATTGATGTCATTAGACTGGCAGCCTCCTTAAGCACGCTTTGTCAGTATGGTAGCGTATTTCCATGTACAGACTGAGGGCAGATGACAAGAAGTCAGAACAAGAAGCAGGTTTCCCTGCAGTTCTCTGTTCTTCATCTGATCCTCATTGAAACACGAAAGATCTTTCCTTTTAGCTTGATTTGAAAATATCTACCTCCCACTCAGGCCAAATCAGTACAGACTCATCTTAATATCACTGTTGACCCCTTTATAAGTTGAGTTAGGCTATCAGAATATCCTAATTATTATTTTAATGCTGGTAACATTTTCTGAGGACATTTTGTCAGGACATAAGTAAGATGCTAGAATAAACATTGGTCTGAGGTGGTAGTTTCAGAGGATGGAGTTGAGTTTGATACTATATACCAGTATTTTAGAAGTGCAGTTTTAGAAGCTGGAATATTGTTTACGTGTAATATTCTCCAGCTTCTTGTTGGATTTTTCCGTCCACCTTAAATGGTGCGGGCAGTTATATTCTGAACTACTGCGCCATTTAAGGTGGAACGGGAAAATGCAAACAAGCAGCCGGCGAAAAAGTAGCTGACTTCAGCTTCATGGCGAGTTGAAAGGCATGATATGAGAAGGTTTCTCTATTTCCGCTTGACCGCTGAGTAACAGTAACTTATTTTTGCTGTTTCACAGAACCAACAGGTCAGTATTGTTTTGTCCCGTTTGGCTAATCACAACTGCTGCACCATTAATGTGGAACGGGAGCATTCAAACAAGAAGCTAGCAAAAAATAAGCTAAATTCAGCCTCGTAGTTTTAACGCTGGTAGTATTTTTGATAAGGAGTTTTAAGGAGTTTCAAAATATCCTACCTAGAGGTTTTATTTATGGCTATACCTGCAAATATGCGCTTCGGTAGAATATTTCGATAAGGTAGCACAGCTCGTCAGAGCACCGCCGGAGCCCGGCGTAGTCTCGTGTAGCTTAGTGACATCAAATTGATGCGCAGTAGCTTTATCCTGTAGCAATATTATAATTAGGACTCTTTAACGACCTCGTAATTCGGAGGATCCAGTGATATTCGGTAGAAAAAAAATGTACACAGGATAAAACATATCGGGTTCTGAACATTTTTATTTAACACGGTGCGATAGAAGCGATTCGGTAAAGTAAACGGGAGTAAATGTATATTTCCTTTTGTATGTATATTTCCTTTTTCCCTATATGTTTCCTTTTTTTCTACAGCAAACGGGTTTTGGGAAGCAGAAGGCGGGCATTACTGCTAGAGCGTGATGATTGATTGGCGAGCGGAGCAGCTCATTGGCTGTTCGCGCTCACTGACGTCATGAACATACATGAGGCGCTGTTTTAAACTCCTATAACTCGAGTTTAAAAGCTCTTAAAAATATAACAGCGGTGTTAAAATGTTTTATGCTGTTCTGTGTTCAGGCAGTGATCGCATTATTTTACATTAAAAATGTTTAAGCATTTATAAGCTATGATTTTGCTCAAATGCTCCATATCAACCCATTCATTTTGGACTCACTCGAGAGCGCCCTCTAGCGTTTGAGAAAACCGGAAGACATTGCAGAATGGTAATTCTCCTCTCTACAAGTTCTCTGGCATGACTACAGTCTCCTTCAGTTGCATCATCAAATGCCGCTCCTGCTCTTTTAATATCTTTAAATGACGGAGCCAGAAACTTTGATCTTAGTTTATTTTTTCTTCATTTATTAGAGCTGAATAAAAGCTTATATCTGCTTCTTGCTCTTTAAACAAAACGAAACGTTAGTGTTCGTTTTGCTATTGGCTTTTTTAACATTTATATCGTTAGCTATTCGACTCAGTTTAAACCCAATACTTTAATTTAAAACTGCCGCTCTGCTGATTACACCATGTTCTCGAATCCTCGCCGGCACGTAGTTAATGAACCTCGGGATATGTTGGCTGGCGAAGGATCCACCCGTTGGATATTTCGTTGCCATGAAAAAGAAGGACACATTTCTCGGCCACATTTGAAGGAGCCTTCGAAATGGGCCAGCTTAGTCGCGCCACTGTGACGTAATCGGCCTTCAAATGCAGCCTCTGAAGGATGCAGCCGCTGAATTGGGACACACTATACACTGACAACTTCTCTGTGCATTTTCCACTCTAGCAAGTATGCACTAGCGAAGGGCCTTAGAACACTAGCGCGCAGATTGGAGCGCTGCCCAGAACATGCAGGAAGCAGAGAAAAGGCAGGACACTAGGACCCTGTTCACCAGCACCGCTCACTATGCCGCTGTATCCGGCCTTGAGGAGCACATTGAGCCGTAGAGTTAGCTTAAAACTGACACCAGGACTCTTCTGACCACCCCGGCGGACGCTGTGCGCAGCTGTTTGTGAGTTAACGCACTTTCCTTTCAGTTTAAATGAATGAACATTAGCTTCTGTGTGTGTAAGTAGGGCGGCTGGCTGTGACCTGTTAGCTGTCACAGTCATGTAGTGCAGTGAATAGGCTGAACCTGCTTTAGCGAGCGCGTTATGCAATGACGGTTCTGAAACAGAACATAGAGATGTATAACTATAACACGACTGAGGTCGGTGGAAGATATTTCGGTGGGTTATATAAATCTTGGAAAGGCACTCCTTTGTGTGCAGTCTTTTGTGTTTTTTTAGTTGCTGTGGGATTCCTGCTGAAAAAAAAGATAATAACACTCTTAAAAAGATGGTTCCTTAAGGGTTCTTTAGTAAAGAGAATTATTAGTGCACATTGGAACCATTTGCATGCCCACATGGTTCGTTGAATGATGTAATGGTTCTTTATTGATGAAGAATCTGTTGTATTTGGTTCTGTATAGCACCAAGTGTTCCTCCGCTGTTACAAGCTAGTAGTATACATAGTAACAATAGAATCTTTTTGGTGCTTTATGTAGAACTATTTTTCAATACGGTTCTATGTAGAGCCATATACAACATCAATCTAAATAACCATTTCACCATGCAAACAACCCCTTAAGCATGAAATGGTTTTACATAGAACAGAATAAATAGAACCATTCCCTTTACTAAAGAACCCTTGGAGTACCGTCTTTTTAAGAGTGTAGGATTAAAACCTAAAGGTTCTTGCTTCCTGCTGTAGGACACCTTTAGTTGGCTTAATGGTTACAATCATGGACCACTGGTTTGCTGTAGAACAGTTTCTCAGCCCTGGACCTGGAGGCCCGCTGTCCTACACAATTTAGTGCTTTTCCTGCTTTAAAGGGGAACTCCACTGATTTTTCAAAATTTCTGCAAAATTGAGTGTTTGAGATTCATAGTGGTTTGGTGTGAAATCGTTGATTGTAGAGACGCAGATTTCTTCACAGTGGTGGTGATAGAAACTAGGGGTCGTCATGACTACAACACAGAAAAAGACGTTTATTTACTATCCAAACCACCTGTGAACCTATATGTGTCTTTTGAGTTTTTAGATGGAATATTGATGATAAAATAGTCATAAAGCCATAAATATAAGTTTTCTCTGGGGACTCTTTTGCCTCATAATGCCCTTCTTGTATCCTTCCACCACGATTTGAATAATATAAACTAATCTAAATATGTTTTAGACCAAAAACCTTATCACAAAAGTTCTGTAAAACAATGTCTCAGACATCAGGCAGTGTCTTCATAACTATTTCATGTAATAACTTTTAGAGGTGGATGTTTGTTTCCTGTCACCACCACTGTGAACAGTCCTGACTCTGTAAGATCTCGGTTCTCTAGAACGGAGCATTTCACACTAAACCACTGAATGACTTTATTTATTTCTCAGCTATTTGACACACCCACTTAAACGCAACAATGTGCTGTGAATGAGCTGATTAGTTGAATCAGGTGTGTTGGGAGCAGGGGAAGCGCTAAATAGTACAGGGCAGTGGGCCTCCAGGACCAGGGCTGAGAACCACTGCTGCAGGGCACCTTTAGATCCCATTAGAAAACCATCTAATAATCTAGAATCGGTAACAGATCAACTGTTAAACCATTAGGATCCTTTACACTGTGATATCAACACATTGAGAAAAGCCAAAACACATTAAAAACCAACAGGAACCAACAGAAACACTTAATGCTTTGTCTACTTTTTCAGCAGGGCTAATATTGATTCACACATTCATTTTGTAATCATAGCTGAAGCTGACCAGCCTCAAACTGAAGGTTGACTGTGACAGATCAGATATTGAAGGCAAGGTTGATAGTTTCAGGCCTTTGCTAACGTCAGTAAAGTTCACATCATTGTAACATAAGATAACATCAGCACTGTGACCTATGGTCTACTTGTGCATGCCAGTGGCCAACACACCCATAATCAAACATCTGAATGTAGGTTACACATTGTCTTGTTTATGGCTGGTTACTTAAATTACAAAAATAAGTATTTGTTTTTCTCAGTCCACACAGTCCACATTTAAAGGGACACTCTGACCCCAATAGAAAATGTAGCCATTATTGCATCTGTTGTAAACGTGTCTGCTGGCTTTTACAGGGGTGCTGCAGTAGTTTCTCAAGTGAGATTTCTTGGAGTAAAGACTAGGATAACCTCTTGCTAATGATGTTTCTTGAAGGTGGAAGTAAATTTTGAAAGACTAAAAGTGCGTCGGGTTGGATATATCACTAATATCACTAATGCTAGCAAGCACATGTATTTATAATGTTGGTTGTGTGATGCAGTGCATGCTGGGTATTGTAGTCAGAGAAGACTGATGGACAAAAACACAAAAATGATACAAAATCATGAATTCTGGCAAACCAATGTGGCTGAGAGGTGCACTAAAAATAATATTATAACATATTAAATGCTAGCCTAAGGCCGCAGTCCTCCTTTAAAGGGATAATCCACCGATTTCAGAATTGTTGAGATGTAGAGTGGTTTGATTGAAAATGGTTCATTGTAGAGAAACTTGACTCAGATTTCTTTACAGTGGTGGTGGTAGGAACCAGGGGTCGTCATGACTACAACACAAATATAGACATTTAATTTCCTAGCCAAGACCACCAGTGAACCTACATGAGTCTTCTGAGATTTATATGAACTATACATGCAACAAGGAGTTTGCAAATCTACCATTGTTCTGGTGGAACTGTATACCATCTTAGTTACAGTCTGTATCCAAAAGTTCTAAGACCCTCTTCAGCTACTTTAAGGTCACTCATTGCAGACACAAGCGCTCAATGTGCTCATGCAGCTTGTATAATCTCCATAGAAAAGCACTGACCAATAGAATGGGATGCTCTGGAGCAGCAGCACCATGCTAATGCCAAGTGTAGGCTAGAGGTTTGTAAAGTCCATGAGTTGGAGTGGCGTTTGTGAACTGATCATCCAACATCATTACCTGACCTCATTAATGCTCCTGTGGCTGAATGCAGTCAGATCCTCACAGCAATGTTCCAACATCTAGTGTAAAGCCTTCCCAGAAGAGTAGAGGCTGTTACTGCAGCAAAGGGGGACAAAGTCCCTATTAATACCCTTCATTTTAGAAGAAATGCTGGAGTCTACAAACCTTTGAACTTAATGTGCATTTGATTTAAAGACAGCTGATTCTTCTCTCTTCTCTGTTTACTCTCAGCAATGGCGAGCCAAACGGCGTTGGTGATGCGGCTGCTGGCTTCAGCCTACGCTGTGGCTGAGAAGGCAGGAACGATAGTGAGAAGAGTCCTGCACAGTGGAGATTTGGGAATCGTTGAAAAGGTGAGATGGATTAGCACTCCCAAGAGTCAGCAGGAGCTTCCTGTTGTTTATGAACATTAGGAGACAAGTACTATGTAATGTACAGTACTGGGCAAAAATCAGAACCTGCCATTCATTTATTTGATTACCAGTCAGTCATAAAGTTTTTTTGTTTTCTTTAGCATCAGTAATTAAATATAATATCAAGTTTTCCAGTATTTAGTGTCTCTACCTTTTGCTTTTGTTCCAGCTTCCAGGAGACTTGCTTTCAGTTTTTTAAAGAAATAGACAGGAATATTTTCCATTCCTCCAAAGTTCAGTCTTAAAAGTCAGTTCTTGACAGCTACACATCCTTTCAGACCCATAGCACTGAGTCGTCTTCTCACAGTGGACGGATGGACAGAAACACCAGTGGATGTTTTCAGATGTGAAGCAGCTTAATTTTCTCCTCTCTCTCAAAGATTAAAGCTTTAAGTGCTGGTCTTCCAGGTGGTTGTTAGGAGTCCTATTTTCTCTGTAGCTTTTAATCAGTTTTTGAACCAGTTGTGGAAACTCGCTTATTTCCCTTTGACTTTCTCTTTCCTTGTGCAAGTGTATTATCTTCTATCTAATATTCCCAGAAAAATGAATAACTTGTACTTAATGATTATTTTGATTATTGTTTTGGAAATGAAGGATGGTCTCTGACTTTTGCACAGTTCTCTATTTGGTGTTTGAAGTTAAAAGATGCACTCGCAGCCCTGCTTATGGCTTAGGGTTACAGATATTTGCCCTAGCAAAGATATAAATAAGGAGTGTAATATTTATCCCCCTGAACTATAGGCTTTTTATTTATTAATGTAAAGGCATGTACTATGAAACTAATATTTTCTGTAGTTATGAGTGTTGCAGTTCTGAACTCTTAAGAAGTTAAATTGAGCTATTACTTAATTTATTAGATGTATTGTTAAAAATAAAGTCTTTCCAAAGCTTTCCAAAACCTTCCAACAAAGCTCCAGTCAAATGAATTGTTATATTTTTATCACTACAGCTCATTGAATTAGTTATGTTTAGTCTCACAGTTCATCTTTCTGCTCTCTCTTTCCTCTGCTCTCTTTTTTTCCTATGTTGTACGCACTCATCTCAGACAGGAGCTAATGACCTACAGACGCTGGCTGACCGGCTTGTACAGAAGAGTATCTGTGGTTCTCTATCAAAGACTTTCCCAAAAATCACCATCATTGGGGAGGAGGTACATGGAATACAGTCTGATACAGTAGCCACATAGAAGAACTGTAACTGTCAATGGTATTGGTAATCGTCTAAGCTACTGTTTTGACAGTTCATTGAGTGACCAAGTAACTTTTTAAAAAGTGGACATAATTGAACCATAACAAACCAAGCAGAGCCTTTCAAATACTTTATTGGAAGAAGAAGAGGCCTTTAAAGGGACACTCTGGCCAAAATGAAAAATTTAACCATTACTACATGTGTTCTGAACATGCCTACTCTCAGCATACAGCAGTGATCTCTAGAGCAGGGCTGTCAAACTCAGCCACTAAAAGGGCCAAATTAAAAAATCTGAACAAATCTGTGTTTTAGGGAATGCATGTGTTTTTGTTTATTTTTAATTATATTTACTTTTACCTGAACTGGCCATTATGTATTATTTATTCAACCTATTCAAATATTACTGTTCACACACACACACACACACACACACACACATACATACATATCATATATATATATATATATATATAACTCTGTAATTGAGAGCATGCAAATTTTTAAAATTCAATCAAATTTGCTTTACCCCAAACTGCTGATTTGTATTATTTATTCAAAATATTCCTCTTTTCCCATATAACCTCTTTAAATGTGCCCAGGTTTTTTTTTTTTAAACCTGCCTGTCTGGTCAAACTAGAGACCTTACATATTTTCTTTTTGTAACCTCTGTCCCATAGATTGTTGTTGGGGAATGGGGTCAGGGTGCATGTTACATTACAGTGCATTCTGGGGATTCTACTGCAGCTCATTGTGAAATAGGCTAATAATAATAGAACATTAAAATTATTTCTTGGGCTGGATAGTGTTGTGTCTTCGGCCTGACTTGGCCTGCAGGCCTTGTGTTTGACTCGTGGGCTCTAGAATAAGGGTTTCCATTTGAAAGGCTATTAAAACCTGCTTCAGATGTATCGTGAAGGTGGGAGGAAACTGAACTTGAGGAACTTGAAAAGTCTTTTGGGGGCAGGTTGTTTTGAAATGTTTTTTTTTTGTTTGTTTGTGGATGCAGAAGGAGGCCAGATAGCTAACACTAATGCTCTGTAGCCGAATATGTTATTGCAGCCGTATAACTTTAGTAACTGTCTTAAAATGGTTATTGCTGTGTATAAGAGAGAGAATGGATTACTCAGTGATAGAAATGACTGAAACGATGAGGAAGACAACAAGCTAAAAGCAACCTGGATAACTAACTCTCTTATCTCAATTTGGTGTCCATTTTGTGCTGAACAAATATAGAATTGCTCTTTCCTTTACAGTTTTGTTCAACAACTGAAGTAAGAGAGTGGACAGCAGTGGCTAGGGTAGCAGTCAGAATTGGGTGACACCACTGGTATTCCCAATGGTTGTATGATGTATTTGCATAATGCATGCTGTATATTGTAGTGAGAGAGCACTGATGAAGGAAAACATAAAAGTGATATAAAATTCTGATGTCTGAAGATTATGACACTACACTACAGAACACTGCATAACATGACAAATAACATTTTAAAGTCTAGTTCTAAGCTGAAATTCTTCTTTTAGACTAAGAAGTATAAACACAGTGGTTAAGAAATGCATATAAATGGGTGTGTCTATTTAACCAATGATTTTTTGTAGTCATGTAATCATGTCAGCATTACACAACATTACTAGCCGAGTTCATGTACTTTCCTCTCATACAGGATCTGCCGTCTGAGACGGTAGAAGAGGACCTGATTGAGACAGGCACGTATGATGTAATCTTACACAAGCCATGTCCGGAAGAGTATTCCATTTTAAAGGAGGAGGAGGTAAGAAAAAACGCAATACTGTGCAAAACAGAATGTGTGCATAAGTCTTACATAACAATAGAACTACAATAGAAGCTTAAATATCAACAGAAGTACAATAGTGACATTTTTGCCATTTTAACATTTTTGATCACTGTTTTACCCTCTAGCTTGTTGTGTGGGTCGATCCTCTAGATGGCACCAAAGAATACACTGAAGGTAAGAGAATAAAGTAGTGTCAGAGAAGCCTCCTGTGATATGTGACTTACTCAGGCTGGTTTTGACTGTTTTGTCAGGGAAGACTCGCAGCATAGTAGGTCGATTTTTTGAATAAAATGGAATACACTAAAGGTTTGATATGGTTAATATGCAAACAGAGTCATTCAGAGTGGTTTGGTGTGAAATTCTCTGTTCTAGAGAAACTTAGAGTCAGAATTGTTCACAGTGGTAGTGATAGAAACCAGACGTCCACCTCTAAAAGCTAAAAGAAAGTTATTACATGAAATGGTTACAGATTTGCAGCCTGATGTCTGAGACATTGCTTTACGATAATTTCATTTACTATCCAAAACCACCAGTGAACCTACATGACTCTTCTGAGGGTTTGCATGTAACAGTGATAATGGTAAAACAGAGGTAAATCTGGAAAAAACATGTTTTATTGAGCGCTGTTTTGCCTCACAGCACCTTACATGTGTCGCTTAAAAATATATTTTTGTAAAACTTTAGTTTCTCTAGAACAGAGTATTCCATGCCAAACCACTCTGAATCACTTTGTTTACATCTCAGACACTGACCTTAAAAAAAAAAAAAATCAGTGGAATTCCCCTTTAGCTATTAAATACGTTATGCTAATAACAGACATAAAGGGGAAATCCCCAGATTTAAAAAAATTTCTTCATAATTAAATGGTTAACGTGTCAACAGTGTCAGTCAGAGTGGTTTGGTGTGAAAGTTCCATTTTAGAGAAACTTGCCGAGTCAGAATTGTTCACAGTGGTGGTGATAGGAACCAGACGTCCTCACAGAAAGTTACATAACTGACTACAAAAATACCTTGGCCTAAAAGGTATGTTTAAAAATCTGTTCATGGTGGAGGGATACATGCAGGGGGTTGTGAGATAAAAAAGAAAAGAAAATGTGTAGGTTCACTGGTGGTTTTTGGAGAGTAAATAAAATGTCTATATTTGTGTTGTAGTCATGGTGACCCCTGGTTCCTATCACCACCACTGTAAAGAAATCTGAACCGTTTCACACTATGTTCACATCTCAGCGACTGAATTATGCAGACATTTTGAAAAATGAGTGGAATTTCCCTGTATGTTGAACATGCATTTTAAATGTTCCTGTTCACCTTTATCATTCCTTTAGTCTGACATACATTCTACATTATAACTGTTTGTGTTATGTTGCCCTAACATATCACAATTATTACATAGCTGTAAAGATTTAAGAAGGTGTCTTTCTGCAACACCTTAGCATAGCTGCTGATGCCTTAAATGACCTATCATTTACTTAAAGAGATAATTAAGGGAAAAATGTAGTCTACCCAGTTTCCCTCCTCACCCTAAATGTAGTCAATCACCTGAGAAGTTTTTGGTGTCTGAAGTTTGCTTCTTTTGTCTTGTGCTGCAGGTATGAGGCTAATGTAGCTAACAAATAATAGAAGCTTATTCCCCACAAATTAGCATGGTGCTAACTGCATGCTTAAATCAATCACACAAAAATGTGTAGAGTTTATACATTTTGGGGATTTGGAGACCTCTCTAGTGGAAACGTGTAATTGCACACAATGTGTGGCTTAAAATATTTTGTAACGTGGGTTGTGCTTTGGTCTCCTTCAAAGAGTATAAATCTGATGATTGACAGAATTCAAAGAGAACTCAGTCAAAACTTGGTGAATGACGTGTCTTCTGAGGATGTGAGTGAATTATCTACTATTGTCATCACATCTCCATCAGTGTAATGTTGATTCTGAGATCATTTGAGACCTAAACATTGAGCCGGACCTTCTTTTTTTGAATCTGTGCGTGTGACATTAATGCGTAAAAACATACGAGGTGTTGTTAAAAGTCCTCACCCAATGCCTCTGAATGATTAATTAAATGATTATTTCAGGCTCACAGCAAGGAGGGCCTTTAAACCCTATGCTTAATTGAAAATAGTAAAAAGACAACATATCAAATGCTGAAACTGAGAAACTTATTCTTTTTTGAAAATATCTGCCCATTTTAAATTTGATGCCAACAACACCTTCCAAAAAAGTTGGGACGGAGCAACAAAAGGCTGGTAAAGTTGTGTAATAAAAAAGCATCCCAGAGTGTTTCAGAAGTAACGATGAGGAGGGGTTCACCACTCTGTGAAAGACAGCATGAGCAAATAGCGCAACAATTCAAGAATAACATTTATCAACATAAAATAGCAAAGATCTTTCTGCTTTTCATCATATACGGTACATAATAACATTAAAAGATTCAGAGAATCTGGAGAAATCTCTGTATGTAAGGGACAAGGCCAAAGACCAGTATTTGCTGGCCATAATCTTTGGGCCCTCAGGCAGCACTGCATTAAAAACAGACACAATTGTGAAGTGCAAATCACTGCATGGGCTCAGAAACACTTCTGAAAACCACTGTCTGTGAAAAGTTTGTCGCTGCATCCACAAATGCTGTTTAAAACTCTAAACCGCAAAGATGAAATCATATATAAACAGGATCCAGAAATGCAGCCACCTTCTCTGGGCCTGAACTCATTTAAAATGGACTGAGGCGAAGTGGAAAAGTGTGCTGTGGTTGGACGAATCAACATTTGAAATTCTTTTTGGAAATCATGGACACTGTGACCTCCGGGCTAAAGACCACTTGTTATCAGTGCACAGTTCAAAATCCAGTATTCATGATGGTATAGGAGTACATTAGTGCACATGACAAGGGTGATGTGCACAACTATGAAGGCACCATTAATGCTGAACGATATATACATGTTTTGGCAACATATGCTGCTATCCAGACGACATCTTTTTCGGAGAAGGCCTTGATTATTTCAGCAAGACAATGTAAAACCACATTCTGCATGTATTACAATAGCATTGCTCTGTATTAAAAGAGTCCAGGTGCTAAATTGGCCTGCCTGCAGTCCAGACCTGTCACCCACTGATAACATTTGGCGCATTATGAAATCAAAAATACAACAAAAGAAGACTGCCTGAACTGTTGAGCAGCTGAAATCCTGTATCAAACAAGAATAAGAAAACATTTCACTTTCAAAACTACAGCAGTCGGTCTCCTCAGTTCCCAAACATACAGAGTTTGTTAAAAGAAGAGGTGATGAAACACAGTGGTAAACATGCCCCTATCCCAACTTTTTTGGAACATGTTGTTGGCAAATTCAAAATTGGCATAAGTTTTATATTTTTTATATTTACAAATTTTAAATTTTTCAGTTTCAACATTTGATATGTTGTCTTTGTAGTATATTCCTTTTAAAATATGGTTTACATGATTTGCATTTCATTGCATTTTATTTTTATTTACATTCTGCACAGCGTCCCAATTTTTTTGAAAATAGGGTTGTATGTGTGTTTGTCTGTCTGTCCTGTGATGGACTGTTGACTGTTTCCTGCCTTCCGCCCAAAGAGTGCTGGAATAGGCTCCAGCACCCCCCACAACCCAGGAAGATAAGCGGCTTAGAAAATGTGTGTGTGTGTGTGTGTGTGTGTGTATATTTGAAGACCGTTTGCAGATCACTGCTAACAAGGACGATGCAACTGATTTTTATCTAGGGTGACTGTGAGGAAAAAAATAGGGTGATTGTGCACGCTCTACTCTGTTGTTTGTCTGATGTTTCAGGTTTTACTTTTACAAGCCCATCCTTTCAATATCCGGAGCTTCAAATTCAAAGTACATTTAAAGAAACGCAGGCTTGAAACGCTGACTTAATGGACATAAGTACACATAGCTTTGAACAGTTTTGTTGCCAACTTAGAAGGCTGGATTCTGTCCGTACTTTGTGCAAGGTGTGCAGTTTTTGTGATTCTGTTTGTTGATGTAAAAGCTTCTATGACTTGCTAGCTACATTAGCCTCATAGCTCCAGTGTAAAACTGAAGAGGCTGATTGAAGAAAAAAAATTGTCGTTTTGATTTTTTTCTCCAAATTATCCTTTTAATAGCCTAAACAGTGAGTATATGGGATGTTGTTTGTGTGTTGAGCGGAGGAGCTGTTCTCATATCACTGCGCTAATCATTCACACTGGTTATCTTTAAATTCACCTGCTCTCTGCTACCACGTTTTCCTAACTGTGTTGCTTGCACTGTATTGCTCACATTCTGAGGGTTTTTTCCACCTCTCGACCTCCATCCGTCTCGCACACCTGCTACTCTCCTGCGGTGATCCACTCTCCACTGTCCACCTCCTTTTCCTTTTCTCTGTCTCTCTGTCTCTGCTGTAGCTGCAAGGTTACTGGACAGCCCGGTTGTCGTTCAGAAGCAGATCCAGGCCCCCACAACTCCGACCCGTACGGTGACAGAGGGAGAGCAATACCCCAATCTACACTTCTGCTTCTCTTCATAAAACCAGCTCTCGTAGCACTCTCTCTTAAAGGGCCCATATCTTAAATTTTTCATGTGTTTAATTGCCACTTGTTTGTGTTTTTGTATGTACCAAAATCTGTCATATTTAATCTCTTTGTCCCTTAGAATGAAACGTTTTTTGTTACTGTGCCTTTAAGACTGGTTTACGTAAATGAGCTCTGTTCTGATTGGCTGCCCTGTGTGCTGCCTCATTCAAAAGCAATTCAGGCTAAAGCACTACATATATAAGCAGACATATGTAGATGTTTTCGTTTTTGTGACATCACAAAAACAATGAATTCAAAATGGGCATAGTTTCCGTAAATTGACTATATGGACTGGGAAGTGAATGGTACATTTTGAAATGTTATCAGTGTTTAAACACTACGTCATACTCTTTTATTAAAAGTAAGAAAACTTTTGTTTTCCTTGATGTGGGCCCTTTAAAGTGATCGTTTGATGAAAAAAACCCTTACCCCCAAAGGTCAAATCAATCAGCAAGACATATTTGGTGTTAGCTTTTTTGTTTTAGCACTGGAGCTATAAGGCTAAGGTAGCTAACAAGTTATTGAAGTATATACTCCGCCAATTAGCATGGTGCTAACTGCATGTCTGACTAATTGAACTCGCCTCAAACTGTGTGGAGTTGTTCAGTATCTCTAATAGACTTGATAATGTGGTTTCTGACACTGTTTGAGACAGTTATTTATAAACATGGACTAAAGTACATTAGCATAGCTAAAAACAGTAGCAGCTGCTTTTTTTGTAGATAACAGAAGCATATAGAAGTCTGAGGGCTAAAATTGTGGAAAAATGAATTTTCCCCATTTTTTTGGAATGGAAAAAGTTCAACGCAATGAGTGAACAATGAGTGTGTTTACATGTACTTAATAATCCCATAACTGCAGAAAATCAGATTTTGTCAGTAATCAGATAAGCATGTTTACCTGCACTTGAGTAATCAGATAATTGGGAATCTCCTGGTCTACATGAGTCAGGCAGTAATCAGATTTCTGCTTTGCAACCAGCCAATAAACTCACAGAATAAGACGTGACATAAACATAATGTAAAATTCAAACTTCATGCTTTTTTAAAATATCGAGTCCCTTTACCTGAAAATATGAACATACATCATCTAGAAGATGAAGAAAATTTAAATCCTTAATTTCGTCAAGCATGTAGTCGGTTTCAGCATTGCTCCAAAAGTGTTTTACTGCCATCTCATGGCAACGCTGCTTATTTACAGTGCTGTGGTCTGTTTTTGCACATGCGCAGACTGAGAAATCTGAAAGAAATCAAAGTAAGAGTTCACATGCACTGAGAAGTCTGACTGCTGAGCTAAAGTCCAGCTCTCTTTATCAGATTTCTTAATCTGATTTCTAGACCTCACTCCGATCTGAGAGTGTGCCGTTTACATGACCATTTAAGTAATCACATAACTGCAGAAATCAGATTACAATCAGATTATTGAGTGCATGTGAATGCACTCATTATTAAAGTTTCTTCCCAGTCCATGCAGTCTGTATAGCTGTTGTCGGAACAAAACCTTATATCTCTAAAAGGTTTAAGGAAACAGACTTTTTTAAAAAGTAATTTTGGGCCATTTCTTTTGCTCCATGCATCATGAAATGTATACTCCATGTAAAGAGCATCAAGCATTTTCAAATTAGTTCAAAATCGTAAAAAAAAATTACAAAAATGGAGATATGAGGTTTTGCTCTGACATCAGCGATATATAGAAACTAAGCTTGTTTTGAATTCATTGTTTTTGTGATGTCACGGAAACCAGCACATTTAAATATATCCTCCTATTCAGCCTGCAGCAGTTTAGCTCTGCCCACTTACACTGAAACTATAAGTAGTGTTTCAGCCTGAACTGCTTTCTGACTTGAGCCACAATACCGGGCAGCCAATCAGAACAGATCTCATTTACATATCTTAGTCCTAAAGGCACACCAACAGTAACAGCCCGTTCAGTTGTAACAGATAAAGTGGTTAAAACTGGTCATGTACAAATTAATTATGACTGTTTTCTGTACATAAAACTAAAACAAGTGGTCGCATATAACGCACAGTGTATATAATGCATGAAACATGTAGAATGTGGGCTCTTTAACACTTGACACAGTCTGAGGCAAGTGTGTGATGATTTAGGCATGCAATTAGCACCATGCTGATTGGTGGGATATATGCTTCCATTAGCCTCAAAACTCCAGTGCAGAAAGCAGAAATGTATAAATTTATAGATTTCTGGTTGAACAGATGCTTTACATGTTTCTGAATGTTTTGGTGAGGGGAAAGTCAGAAAATCCATCATCTTGAGCGCACTGTTTAGCTGAGAGTGGAGTATCTGCTGTGTCTGATCGCAGGGCTCCTGGATCATGTGACCGTGTTAATAGGCATTGCTTACAGAGGAAAGGCCATCGCTGGAGTCATCAATCAGCCGTTCTACAACTACCAGGTCAGACTGATGCACACTGTCTGTTCACAGAATGACTAATGAAACCCCACACAGAGGCTGGTCTGTGAGCCACTTTTTTTTATATATATTTAGTAAAGGGGATGGTTCTATGTAGAACCATGTTTAAAGGGTTCTTTGCATAGTGAAATGTTCCTTCAGACTGATAGAGAATGTGTTGTGGATATGGTTCTATGTTGCACCAAAAAGGGTTCTTTATTGCTGTAAGCATGACATCATACCGAAAGAAGAACACTTTTTTGTTATACCATTTTCAAAAAAATTCTATATAGAACTATAAGCAGCACATTCTCCATCAGTTTGAAGAACTATTTCACCATGCAAAGAGCCGTTATGCATGAAAGGACTCTATTGAGAACATATGGTACTAAATAGAACATTTCTTTTACTAAAGAACAGGATTTTTATTCAAAATTTCTGTATAATTCAGTTATTGAGATGTAAAAGTCATAGTTTAATGTGAAAAAATTCATTGTAGAGTAACTTGCCAACTTAGATTTCTTTACAGTGGTGGTGATAGGAACCAGGGGTCACCATGACTACAACACAAATATAGACGTTTTATTCACTATCCAAAACCACCAGTGAACCTACTCGTGTCTTCTGATTTTTTTTTTTAATTTGCAGTGTTGATTATGGTAAAATAGTGGTAAATCTGGGAAAAGAAATTTTCTTTGGGGACTATTTTGCCTCACAACACCCTGCATCAGGAATGGCTTTTAAATATACATGTTTTAGGCCAAATCCCTACCTCAGAACTCTAGTTAAACACTGACTCTGACGTCAGCATATTCAAAACCATGTAGTGCAATAACTTTCTGTGAGGAAGCTTTTAGAGGTGGACGTCTGGTTCCTATCACCACCACTGTGAACAATTCTGACTAAGTTTATCTAGAACAGAGCATTTCACACCAAACCACTCTGAATGATTTTGTGTACATCTTAACCATGCACAAATGTTGAAAAATCAGTGGAATTTCCCTTTAAATGTTGAAATCTTGTGTGTGAATTTGCAGACTGCCTTTTACAGAAGGAAGAGTCAATATTGTCCTCTCAGCACTGATGGTTTCAAACAGTTGATAAACATTGCCGAGCTAGTTTGTGTTTAAGGTTTAATTCTTCATAGGGTTTAAATCTGAACTCTGACCAGGTCAGAACCATCAGAAAAAATAATTTGTATTTTGGGCTTGGCCCATTTTTTGCACTAATACTACTATCTTTTCTTCAGTCCCAGTTCCTAAACTGTATTCTTTTGGTCTTTGCATGCAGTTACACATTTCTACCAGACAGGCCTCCAAATCCCCAAAACTTAATGCAGCTTGAAAAAAATACAAATAAGAATATTGAACCTCTATAGAAAAAAAACTGTAGCTTTAAAAAAAATACAAATAAAAATGTTAAACCTCTTTAGTAAAATAGAAAATAAGTCAGACATTAAACATTATGTAGAGAGGGACTTCAGAGACACTTATTTGTATGTGTACTTTAGTAGACCGCTGATGTTGGCCTAGATTTTGGATGCTTACAGGCTCACTGAAGCTGATAAGACTGACAGCACAGAAATTTTAATGAAGTAACAGAAACATTAAAAATGTAGATGAAGACTGGAATCTGAATAACAAAGCTCTGCTTTATTATAAAAGTCCCGCTCCTCAGTAAAAAGAGCCAATTGCCTTGTTGATTAGGTGGCTCAAGTGGGAAGACAACCTTCCTCACTGTGGAGATATGTGTGTGTGTAGCACTCAGAACAACCTGAAAAAATACATTTTTAATACATTATTTAAGCCAAACATCACAAACTGTTTATGCAATTTTTGTCAGATTTTAACAGTAATTTTAAATCTGTTTTTGAAATGTTAGCCTGTAAGGGGTTTATAGCTCTAAAGTAAGTAGTTTGGGTGACACGATAAAAGTGTTGAATTTTCATATCCAGCTGTATTTACAAAGTATTGATGCTAAAGAACATGAACAGTGTACACCTCTGAATCATCATGATAATGATCTCCATGGACAATCCACACCTCAAACAGACTCACTCTGATCTACTGTAACTTCTAGCAAATCTATACCTGCACATATAGATTGACATCTTGTACATCTTCTATCCATATCTTGTATAATCTGGAATATATATCAATATTCTATCCCCTGTGTACCCTGCATCTCATTTATGTACCTCAGACTCACTCAATTGCATATATGTAAATGTGTACAACTGTACATATCATAGCTTTAATTTCATAACTAACATTACTGAACAAAAACTGTATATTAGAAAAGTGCAATACTGTGTGCATACTGATGTGTATTTTGTGTATATGTGTATATATTTAGAGTGTCGTGTGTGTATTTAAGTACTGCAAGGGGGCTACGCACCAAAGATTTCCACTCACCTTTGCACCTGTGTACATGTGATGTGACAGTAAATATGATTTGATTCGATTTGATACTTTTTTCTTTTAATTATCATCCGTTTTTGGTGGAGATCTAGTGCTCAAAAGTTTCTATATTAAGAAATGTTCTTGTTTCATATACAGTAATCACAAACATTGTGGATTTAAGTATTTGCGAAAACATTTTTAGGTGTTTTATTCAATATTATAAGAAATATGTGAACAAGTTATAAATGACAAATAATAAACTGTAATGATCCTTTCACAGTATTTTGTTTTTTTTTCCTCCCAAGTCATCTGCACTGAGATTTGATCTCCACTTTTGAAATATGATAAATTCAGGATGTTAATGTTATTAGAATTTCATTCTTGATGTTCATCATTCTGACATCTAACATGTATTCATTTTTATTTGCAGCTTCCTGATGTCCTACTGAATCAATGTATACATTTGTCTAAAACCAAATTGGTTTAATATTAATTGATTTTAAATTTAACAGTGATCCCAAACCTTTTCCCACATTACCAGCTCTATGTTCATCCTCCTTTCCGATTTCTGGTTGTTCCAGATGGGCACGGATGCCACTTTGGGCAGGACTCTGTGGGGAATGTTGGGTTTGGGTGCTTTCGGGTTCCAGCTTCAGGACGTCCCAGAAGGGAAGCGGATCGTCACCACCACACGCTCTCACAGCAACAAACTTGTCACAGACGCTGTCCAAGCCATGGAGCCTCATGATGTGATCAAAGTTGGAGGAGCTGGTAATAAGGTGTGTAAAGCAGCAGTTCACGTCTGCATATGAATCGATAAGATCAGAACGTTAACCTCTATGGTTCATCTCGGCAGATCATCCAGCTGGTGGAGGGCAAAGCCTCTGCGTATGTGTTTGCCAGCCCAGGCTGTAAGAAGTGGGACACATGCGCACCTGAAGCGATTCTACATGCTGTTGGAGGTGACAGTCATCATTCGTTTCTTTTCTTTCTTTTCTTTTTCTTGAGCTTTTTTCAACCTGATCTCTATTGGCTGTATCTGTAATATTCAATTACTGTGGACAATAATTTAAACACATATCCCTGAAACCCACTGACTTGCTAGTAATGGAATCCAGTGAGAAGTGGCTGAATTTTAAAAGTATTTGCAAATTAAGCTGTAAGTGTAAGTGGTTCTTTCAGAGATAGTCCTAGTTTCCCAGATGGACGAATTTGGTCATTTGTTGTGGTAATTTGTTACCAGTGTAGTTATATGGATGGAGTTTTGATTGCTATGGATACCAGAAAAAGTTTGATCGGGGTTCCCAATCCCAGTCTTGGGAACCTGCACTGCACATATTTGTGTTTTCCTTACTCTACACTACTTGGGCTCACTTGCACCGACTGTACGTGAATTTAAAAGTAGGCTAGTTATAATGTAACTACAGGGTTGAGATTTGAAAAAGTAGTGATGGCTGAACACTCAATATACTCTTAAATGTATTCGGTAATGTGTTTGATTACAATTCATAAAAAGTAATGTTCAGATTTTCAGTATTCACTCATCACTTAAATGACGTTCCAAAATTCTTCCAAAAAAGAAAAAAAAATCTGCCTCATCCCCTGCTTCAGTCCATTGCTGCTCCCATAATCCCCTGTGGGCGAGTCCAGTATAACAGTGATGCTAAACTTATCACTTGCTAACAGGGCCAGTACTGAGAAGATTATTAGTTTGATCATCTCTTGAAAGAGCTCCATAACACTGAGATTAATAACTGATCACATTGATTTATCAGTCTACTCAGGCTTTAGCAGAGCTCAGTAACACTGAGATTAATAACTGATCATCACATTGATTTATCAGTCTACTCAGGCTTTAGCAGAGCTCAGTAACACTGAGATTAATAACTGGTCACATTGATTTATCCGTCTACTCAGGCTTTAGCAGGAACTTCAGTGTTTGTAAAGAAGCTGTTGAGTTCCTTCTTAGAGTTCATCTAATGAGCATCTTTGCTGCATGCCATGTACTTCTGAAGTAGTTCATAAATATGCCTTGATGGTGTTTCTTTTAAATATTGTATTTTATATCTACTGGGTAAGTATTCTAAAAGCATTTTCCTAAAAATGTAAAAAGTAACTAATTTGAATTGTGCATTTACGAAATGTAAAGTGGACTGAATACAGACACTTAATTTCTTTATTCTTATTATGTATTCATAATACTCTTATTCCATTACATCCCAGCTCTGCGTAACTGTGTAACTGTTTATACAGTTTGGGGTTCATTCTGAATCATTCTGATTCTTTTTCAGTTATTGTTTTTGCATTTCTTGCCCTGCAGGAAAGCTGACAGACATGCATGGGAACGCGTACCGTTACGATGCTGATGTTAAGCACATGAACTCGGCCGGGGTGTTAGCGACGCTGAGGAATCATCAGTACTACGCCAGCAGAGTGCCTCAGGCTGTCCTACAGGCCCTCCCATCTGACTGAGACACTCACATAGTCAGGCTTAGAGGACCTATGTGCCTTGTTGCTGAAGTCACTTCACACTAAAATCATGATGTCACACACATCAAGTCAGATGTAATGAATTTAAAGTGTCCTTGGTATCAGGGACTGTAATTATGACTGATACTTTTGTAGTTTTTATTATCTGAATCATATTTACTGTGACACAATCTCCATTCCAGATCTATTAAATTCCATGTGTGTCTGGATTTTCATAATTTCACTTGGAGAGTAATTTTTTTGTGTAAAAGGTGCTACTGACTATTAAATCCAGTGGTTATTTTGTTAAAATGGGGCTTGAGCTTTCATCTTCACACTTGTCCAGTTGTTAGTGTCACCAAGTAAACAAAGTACAAAATTTTGGTCTCATATTTCATACAGTTTCCATTAAAGGACCAAAATGATGGTAGTATGAGGCTATTTTAGCTGGTTACTGTATCAGTCAAGATGACATTAAACATGGGTATAGTCATAATTATGTTTATATCACAATTATTTTTCTTGTAAGTGGATATGTGAGCTTAGTCACTAGTCGCATTATAACTTCATTCAGTAGAGATGCACTGACATTTTAGATTTTCATGTATTTACTGTATTTACAGATACTAATATCCATATGGATATTTATTCTTGTGTATCAAATTTACATTGGGACAACAACGTAATAAACAGTGTTGATTTAAAAAGATTTGAATGTTTAGTTTTCAGTGTTAGTCGTCCGAGGTTTGATGTGTATCAGTAGTATTTCACCAACAATTCTTCAACACAAATATGGCCAAAATCACTACAATTCAAAAAATGTAAGGCAAAATGAGATTAAAAATAGATCAGGACAGAAAAATCAACATCACTATGCCATTTATTCCATTCAAAGAGTTTGAAACAAACTGGTACAAATCTCAAAAGTGATTTAAAACACTTTAACATCTCCTGACTTTTGTTAACAGGTCAAAAAAGGCATACTGTACTGCAAAATCAAAACCAATCAGTGAAGGTTTTATTAAATCACAGAAATCAATAAATTTAACTCAGTTCCTACCCTGACCAGGCCACTATATGACAGCAAGCTGTTGGCAGACTTCCTAACTCCACCATTTAAAGGCAAAAAAGAAAACAAAAGCAAAAAAAATGCACATCCATCTGTTATCAGGAATCACAATAAGTCAGAATTTGAGATCAGATGGCAGTATTCAATAGCAGTGTAAGGCAATAATTACAGTTACAAGGCTTCTACTGCTGCTTTCACCTGTGCTAACAAATTCAGAGGACGAGACAAAGTGGCTGAGGGCAAAAGCTCATACGTTAGGGCACTTTTCAGTTTATTTGGTTAAAAGATGGGAAGTGTGCAAAAATGCCCTGCAAGAACTCGGCCTACTTATTTTTCTACATTTCACACAATAGTACCCACCCGCTTCAATACCGCTTTTAACACGCACTCGCCATTTCCCCTCGAGGGAACCCCCAACGCCGTCTTAAGGGCTGTTCTATTGCTTATCAGCTCAAATCAAGTTTTTTAGATTAGCCCATTAGAAAAGACTTAGGCAACAGATCTGATGTATTTTCTTTTTCTAACTCGAAAAAAGGTGGACAAATAAGCCGCAGCAGTATTTTTTTTAAAAGCTTAAGATTTCTGATCCATAATGTTTAATTTTGTATGTTCAGACTGCATTTTAGGTCGAAAACTACTTCATGCTATGTAGTTAGCAAGCTAAGGGCTACACAGCTAGCAACAACACAAAGGTGATGCAATGCGGTTTTACACCAAGACAAAGCAATTATTCACCCTGGTCCGTTATGCATTGCACCATGTGTGGTCTGAAACACTCCTGTGTCATCAGAGCACCTGTTAAACAGACGTGCAAGCTGGGCAGAGCAACGGCACTTCTGTAGTGTGTTTAATATGATTTCTTTCATCCATGAAGCATCCATGCTCAACACTGCACCAGAGTCTTCAGTATGGCTTGTGTATACTGTGAATATTAAGTTAGACTATATGAGCTCTTACCCAAAGCCATTCGTATGCTAGCATGAGACTAAAGCTTTAGACTGAAAACTGACCTATCCATGTCCTGCCCACCAATACATCTTTTGCGAGGTAGAACAAGCTCTACACAACACCGGCAAAAATGCTATAGACCCCTAAAGTTGTGTCATTCTGTAGTCGGCGTCACGCCCATATGAGGCAGTCTGAGTTAAAGCTGGTTTTCTCAATGAGCAAAATGAACGCCACTGAAAACAGCCATTACAGTGTCCTGTGATAAACAAAAATGTTCAAATATGTTTTGCCAGGTAGACATTTTTACTCCAAGTGTCACCAGATCCTCTAAATTAAGAGGTCAGTAAGAAGCTGAGAGCTAGCACTGCAGCGCACTAAATTGACATCATAACCTCACCACAATACCACATTGTAGCATGTGGCATTCATATTTTAACTGCTAAACAACCTCATCCAGTGACAAGGAAATGTACACACAATCAGGTTTGGGACATTTTAATTCACCACAGGGCACAACGCAAGCGATTTCTGAAAATGCCATTCATTTTTTGGCCATAGAACAAAACAGCTTAGACCCAGAGTTCCTAATATGGGCGTGATACCGAATACAGAATGACACACAACTTCAGAGGTCTATTCAACCTAATGAGAAATTTTGTTTTGTAATTATTTGCTACATAAAGATTCCAGTTTAAACTGCTATGCAACAGAGTTGGATAGTGATGAAGCAAATTGAATAATTAATTAGCCACCAGGCTAACATTAGCTTGAATACACAGCAGAAGTACTATAGTGTGACCTTTCACATCCATACAAAATGAATGGCATTCAAAATGAATAGCACAATGTTAATATAGGTTTTGAGATATAAGCCGAGTCTGTTCTACAGTTTCTCATTAGGTTGAATGAATAACCGACTCTAAATGTAGGTATTGTGATATAAACTGAGTCTGTTCTACAGTTTCTCATTAGGCTGAATGAATAACCGACTCTAAATGTAGGTATTGTGATATAAACTGAGTCTGTTCTACAGTTTCTCATTAGGCTGAATGAATAACCGACTCTAAATGTAGGTATTGTGATATAAACTGAGTCTGTTCTACAGTTTCTCATTAGGCTGAACGAATAACCGACTCTAAATGTAGGTATTGTGATATAAACTGAGTCTGTTCTACAGTTTCTCATTAGGTTGAATGAATAACCGACTCTAAATGTAGGTATTGTGATATAAACTGAGTCGTGTTCTACAGTTTCTCATTAGGCTGAATGTGATTTTACCAGCATTCTGTAACGCTTGTCTGAACTAGCAACAAACTGTTTTGTGAGTGGAGCCTGCACAGGTTAATTAAGAATGAACTTATTTCAAATTCCTGCCTATTTAAACACTGTCTATAATAAAATTCACACAGGCACAGGGTAGAAGGAAATAAGCCTATTACACCCAGTCCTTGGAAATGAAAGTGTTTTTTACATAAGCTGGTGAAGAAACCTTGGTAGCACTAACTGGCAAAATGTTATAATTACAAATGTGCAACTGCAATGAATCCTTTGAGGTCATCTAGTTATTTTTTCTTCATAAAATAACGCTGATTGTTCATTGACAAATACATATGGCAATGTGTTCAAGGTTTGCACTGTATACAGAGCTTTAATTTCTCGTCTCATTAAAATTTACATTCTTGTGTCCAAAAGAATAAATTAAGCTTATTTTTCAAGTCCAGCTCTAAATGCAGGACATCGTCTGAGCAAAGTCTGAGCTTATGGGGCACTGTACTGGTTTGGAAAATTATATACAATAAAAACCCATCTGTCCTCAAAAACACACCACATCCTTTTTTGTGAGGGCAAGATACTGTCCTATCCACTCACCTTGCTTCTCAACCCCCACACACAAGCTTTCCATCTATTTATCCATGTTGCCGCAGCCTGTAATGTAGCACAAGGCTGAGCAACAAGTGTCACTGCACTGTATAACCACAGTCCTTTACTCAATATTAATCATTAACAGAAATACCAACAAACAAGCAAAGAAAAAACAGTCACAGCAAAAAAGTATGTACATGTAAAGTGGAGGCTGAAGGGGGAAGGGCCTGCCCTGGGCAACACTTGGGGGGGGGTGAGTACTGAACTCCAGAGAGCCAACCAGCTCACCTCTTCTTCGGAGCCTGAGCAGTGCGGGGAGGAGTGACGGGACGGCCTGAGTTCACTCCGCCGTACTGATACTTTGCCTTTTTCTCTGACGGCTTCAGGATCTGGACGGAGAAGAGAATATTCAGTCTGTGGATTATTCAGCAACAACATTCTGCTCGCCTGCTACACTACACTACACTACACTACAGGCCACAAGTCTGAAATCTTTTTAATTTAAAAAGAAAAATGAAGTAAAAAGTAAAGTGGAATTTCAACGGTTTTTCAAAATTTCTGCTTAATTGTCATGATGTAAACAGTCGTTCAGGACAGTCTGATTTGAAATGCTCTGTTCTAGAGAAACTTCTGGAGTCAATAAAACGTCTATATTTGTGTTGTAGTCATGGCGACCCCTGGTTCCTGTCACCACCACTGTAAAGAACTCTGAACCATTTCACACCAAACCACTCTGAATGACTTCATTTACATCGCAATGGTTGAGTTAAACAGAAATTTTGAATAATCAGTGGAATTCCCATTTAAGCCCTTACATCCTCTATATGTGCCCACACTTCAGTTTCTCACTCTCATAACTATATAACATACATGCTTTATAGTACACACTTAAAAGATGGTTTTCAAGGGTTTTTTAGTACAGAAAATGGTTCTTCAGATTGATGGAGAATGTGCTGTAGATTGTTCTACATAGAACCTTTTTGAAAAGTGTTCTATGTAGCTACAAAAAGGCTTCTTCTATTATTCCAAGCTTGACATCGTTACAATTACAGAACCCTTTTGGTGCTATATAGAACACTTTTCAAAAAGGTTGTATATAGAACCGTCTACAGCACAATCTCCATCAATCTGAAGAACACTTTAATCATGCAAAGAGTTCTTTGAGTGTTCATGGTTCTATATAGAACCATTTTCTTTACTAAAGAACCCTTGAAGAACCATCATTTTTAAGAGTGTAGTTACTGAATAATTTAGACCCATTAAGTCTTTTTTCCCTGTAATCTAATTCATATTCAGTCCTTGTCATCATATTTTAGGATTAAAAATAATAGTATGTTGAGGGTTCAAGGGGTTAAATCAATCTTCAAAATCAATATTCTTTCCACTGTGTACTCTGCATCTCATTTATCTACCTCAGACTCACTAATTGCATATATGATAATGTGTATAACTGTACATATTATAGCTTTTATTTCATAACATATTACTGTACAAAAACTGTACACTGAAATGGTGCAATACTGTGTGCAGACAAATACGTGTATATATTTAGAGTCTAATGTGTATATGTAATTTTTTCTTATATATTTTTTGTATATTTAGGCACTACAAGGGGGCTTTGCACTAAGATTTTCCACTCACCTTCACACCTTTGTAAATGTGATGTGACAATAAACGTGATTTGATTTGATTAAAAGTTGTTCAGTGTAAGGAAGGCCTTTATAAACTACAATGAAAAAAGTTAAACTCGATGTCAGTAAATGCGTTGTGCTTGTGTCAGCAAATTGAAAAATATCTGAATTGACTGTAAAACGTTTTTGAACTGCTTT